CTCCCCCGCCCACCCACCCCCGCCTTGGTTTTCTGCCTTGTTGCCATCAGGATATTTATTTATTAACCTGGTTTATAAGGCCACCCAACTCAAACAATGTGACTCTGGGCAGCACACAGCACAAAAACAAAACCTTATAATATTAAAACATACATAAAACAAAAAATGGTTACCAAGCCGCACTGCATAACAACCAAAAGGGGACTCCACTGAACTGGCCCCTAGTGCCTGGGGAAGCTTGGGGGATCTGAGCCTGCCAGAAACTCCTAACGTGCTGAATACAATTAAATGTTTACTTCTGACTTCCTTTGGCCTGCAAAGATTTGCAGGATATGATCTGCAAATTAATATATCTTTTTTCTCCAATAAACTGGTCTATGTGCCTTAATATCTTAGCTTAACAGGCCAAAAGTGCCCTCCCAGGAACTAAGATGGAAAACCTTCCATCGAGAGTTTTAAGAATGTTATAAAAAAGTCATCTAAAAACTTTCAAAAGAAGGCGGGGAGAGGAAAAATGCTTGGAAATTCCAGGCTGTCCTCATTGCACCCACTAGCAACTGGCTAATCAAGGCCATCAGATCGGTCACGTGGGGCATTTCTACCACAGCAGGGCAAGGTGAGATGACACGAGGGCCACCGGGACGCTCACCCAATGCCCTGCTTCGCAATTTCCCAGGAAGGGTGGCTGGCACAATCGGATTATGAAGTTTCCTGCTTCCTCTTCCCCTTTCTTCCGGCACCCTGGTTTGTTCAGGGTTTTACTTCAAGGGGACTAATGGCCTAAAAGAACCAAACGTCAAACCTAGGAGGATTTTTTTTTTTTTAAGTGGGGGGGGGGATAGCCAAGCAGGAAGATAAGGTGTTTGACCCGAAAGGCTCTCTGGATTATTTACAACCCGCCAGATGCTGAAAAGCCAGGCACTTTTCAAGAAGTAAACAGAAGAGATGTAAAACTGGTCCAAAGCTAGAAACAAGCAGAAAGGTATTTCTTTAACCCAGAAGGTGGGCTACAGAATGAAACCCAGACACGTTACTCTCTAAGTTCTTATAGATGAGAGCTGGGCCAGATGGTTTTTACAGTTGTTTTTTTTTAAACCTTCAAGTTGACAGAAAAGAATAGCTTCTGTATCCACCATGTGGGTGCAGTTCCTTGGCCTTACACTCAAAAGGTCTAGAGGCTTCCAGGGAATCTCTAGGGAATTCCCATCCTAAGAGATTTCTCTCCCTTTTTCCACCCCAGATCAGAAAAACCAAGCTGCCCAGAAGCCTGCAGAATGATGGAGGCCCATAACAGAAAAAGAAAAACCGAAACCACGCTCCCCACCACTGGCAACGTTCAGGTAAGCTCAAACTCACTGCAGAAGTCTGAAAGGAATTTTAAAGTGAAAAATTTAAAGTGAAAAAGAGAAGCCTATGGGGAGCGGGGGAGAGTCTTTCAGGAAACAGGAAGATGGGTATCAAGACTGTATCAGCAGACAATTCCAGCCTATCTAGTTGAGCTGGATGAAAGCTGGACCTATGTTGGCGAGAAGGAAAACCTTAGCACATCTCTAGACTGCAGTACACAATGCTTTAATAGCATCTTTAGCTAACTGCAACTCCTTTGCTGATGGCAAAAGAGCTGGGCTCCCCAGTGGGATTCCACCAATGCCTTTTCATTTCTAAGGGTCTGGCTTCCTACGGGCTGTGAAGCAACCCAGATCTGAAAGGGAAAGGGAGGAACACTTTCCTTACCCCTGTTGTGGCAACTGCCTGAAAGCAGCTTCATCTGCTCCTCAGCTCACGGCTGTCAATCCCAGGAAAGATGCCACTTTTCCCACATTTTCTTTCAGAGCAATGAACATTATGGGTCCAGCAAAGCCAACATCAACACTAGGCTGAATGGTTTCATGGAGAAACCATGTTCTGGGTTGTGAATGACATCTGAAATGAAATCAGATGAAACGCAAGAGGGCAAGATATAAATGTTGGCTGAACTAAGAGGAAGCCAAGCTAAATGTCTACAAGAGGAGAAGATATTTTGAGAAAACAGCCCTGGTTCCTTGTAGAAACTACTCCGACTCTTCTATTTTTGAGCTGGCTGGCCTGCACAGGTCCTTCTCACCATGTCATACCAATTTCCCTGCAGCAAATATGTAGATGGAAGAGCCTGGACTGAACATTCAGTTCTCAAGCAAAAAGATCAAGTGACAGAAATAGAGTGGAAGAAGAAAAGCTGCTCTTAGCTCATTGCAGTTGAGAAGGGACCATTTTAGGAGTTGTTTCCTGAAACTTTTAGGGCTGGGGTCCTTGCTGTGGACCCCCCCCCCAATTCTTTACTCAAGCCTCACTTTTTATTATTTTATTGCTTTTAATTTTTTTATCAATTTGGAAGCTGTTCTGCTTCAAAGCAAAGTGTTTGCCCACTGGACCCTTGAAATGCCTCCTTTTGGGGGCCTATAAGCACTGTATAAACATGGTGCACCCCAAAGCATTGTTTGGAAACACCCCCAGATGCTAAGAAAAGAGAATTCAGTTGATAGGAGTTAAAATCTCCCTGGGGCTTTCGGAAGTGCTAAGAAGCAATCATGACTTTTTGGTAGCTCCACCAACCTGACCATCACCTAAGCAGAGTTGGTCCTAGTTAGAATTTGGAGTGGAGGGGGGCACCTGGGAATCCCAAGGATGGTGTCTAGACTGGGGAGTTGAAAAATTATCCCATAAAAATTATCCCAGTGTTATCACTTCTATAACACTGTCACAAAAACAGCATGGATGCAGGGAGTTGAACCTGGCCCAAAAATATCATGAAGGTGAACAAGTATTTCACAATTGTTCATGCCATGACCTCATTGTTTCAATGGCCCAAAGACCAATCATGATGGTAACTCCAATTTCAACCACTGTTTCTCAAGGAGGGACATTTCTCAAGGGCAGTCACTGTGGCTCTGTTGGACCAGGAGTGGGGAGACCCAGGTTCAAAACCACCCTGGGAGCTTTGGGCCAGTCCCTCTCTCTCAGCCCAACCTACTTCACTGACTTCCTCCTGTGAGAAAAACTTTAAGAAGACAATGCTATATATGCCACCTTGAGCTCCTGGAAGATATACTGTGAATCTAGCCTCAAAAATGAGAATAAAGAAAGAGGTGTGCTGTTTGGAGGGGAAAAAATGAATATTCCTGTCCCATCAGTATCAATAAAATAAAAGCTTGGGAAAGTACTTAGATACAATAAACTGTTTTTCATCTTTCCCTTGTCTGCTTGCAAGAATTATTATCTCGTGGACTCCAATACATTAAACGAAGGAACCTCAGGGTGGTAAGAGAGAGGCAGGGAAATGTCAGAATGGCCTAAGATTGTAAGAACTGGACAGAAGTGTTTTGGGCTAATGCAAAAGAGTCTAAATTTTTCTTGGAGTTGAAATTTGTGTATGTGAGAGTTGATACCTTACCGTAAGAGAAAAATTCACCTTGTTTTATATCTACCCTTCTTCCTATTTGATACGAATTCTGAACAGTTTGATCTCATTGGCCATTTGTGGCAGACTTTTGTTCAATATTAATGTTTTCAGTTAATAGTTAAAAGCCTTTATAATTTTTCTGCCATGTCCTGATTCTGAATTAGCCATCCTTCTGCAGGAAACACTTCAATATGTACTATGGAAAAGACGTCCACCCTAACAGGGAAACTTCTCCAAGGTAGCTCAATCTAAGCATGACACTTAATAGATTAATCTACAAAAAAATACATTTTAGCTCCAGGGGAAAAAAGGGGAATGAGGGGGATAGAAACCAATTAAAGGATCAAGAACCTACTGACACAATGGGCAAAGGACTTATGAATTAAGGAAAAGGGTGAATGCTTTTCAAAAGGAGTTCTCCAGCATAAGCCCTTACGAAACCAGGATAAAAATGAACAGGGGATCCTGCCTCAGGAAAACGACCAATTGTCCAATCTGTCTGAATGCCACAGGGAGTTATGCTAGGCAAAATCTTCCAAGGCAAGAGCTTCTAACCTATCTCATATTGTTCAGGCTATCAGATGTATTGAAATTCACATATACATACCAAATTTGGCATGGAGAAGGGGAAAAAAACCTATTAATTTTTTATGCAAGTTAGGCAAATTATATCAATATACACATAATTTCTGTACAAGAAATACATTTTGGTTAGATCGTTGCTTTCTGCTTCTGCTTTACTGGATCAGGTTAAGATTGAGTTGGTGCACAAGTGGGGTGGTGGTTTTGTTCTAATAGTTAATAGCTCATTGTGCAAATCCAGAAAAAGGGTGAATTCAGTAGCTAGGGTAACTGTGTTGTGTGAAGACAGCCTCAGGGGTCCCCTCTGTGCTGGAATATGCACCCTGGAGTTTCCCAAGGGAACCAAATGAAAGGCAGGAAGGGCGGTAAAGAAAACGGAACAACCGGGCCCACGTGGCTCACGTTCCAGTGCTCAAGGCAGCATCTCTGCTTCGGGGGCTCATTCCAGGTAGGGCTGACCTTGGCTGGAAGGAGGCAACCCCGTGCCCCTCCAGATCCTGGAAAGAACATTTCCACAGGCCCTTAGAAATGGCTCAACCTGGTTACTGGATGACCGCATTGTTTGAGTTTGCCCAACACGCTGAGCCATCAAGTAACTCTACAGGCTGGGTTTGTGCAACGCATGAAGCCGCGCATAAACAGATGAGAGTGAAGCTCACTAAGCCGAGCATGAGAGACAAATGTGGCCACTAAGTCTTTACCTGGGCAGGTTAAGCGTGTGTGTGAATTCAGCTCAGGAAAAAAAGATCCACGAGGGCCCCAACCTGTTCGTAATTCCCCTGCCGGAGTCCAGGCTGAAGGAACAAAATGTGGTTCATGCAGCGAGTCCTCCATTCTAATGTTCTTTTTCACCAGGTTTCTTTCTGGGGGGGAGAGACACACCTCAACCCACCAAGGCGAGATTTCAGCTTTCCCCCCAGCAACATAATCAGTTTCCAAGCAGATGGGGGACCTTCTCAAATAAAGACAGGCCCCATTAATCAGGATGGGGAGGAGGGGAACGGATTTGACAATGGGAAGCTTTGCTGCCCTTTCTGCTGTATATTATGGGGGGAGAGGGGGAAGGCCCTGAAATGCTTTGGGGGTGGCTCAGCTGTTTGGTGTGGCAGGTGTCCCAAAGCGTTCACCAGGCAATGATGGGAGTCACGGCTATTTAGCCCGCAGGACAGAAACAATGGCCCAGGAGCCTTTGTTAACCATTTCCATCCCCACACGTCATCTGCACTGGGCAAGAGGAGCAGGGGAGGGCTGGGTGGGGAGGCCTGCCTTTCCCCAACCTCGTGGGGCCTTTTACCAAAAGTGTAAAGAGAGCCAACGCCACCCCCACCCCAACCTCTCGGCTGCTTTGTCTAGTTTTGTCCCCAAGACTCTCAGTTGACAAGACTGGCTGCGGGAGGCCACTGTTTGCCAGTCACAAGGGCAAAATAACTGACCTCGACCCCAGGACTGACTTTTGGGATGGCGTTTTCTTTGCACTGCCCTTTGTCCGTTCATTCCCAGGGGTGGGATGGGGGGAGCAGGCTCCCGAACTCTTTCTCACTGCCGCTGTGACTTCGCACCACTTTGCGCTCCCATCTCAGGAACGGCAATCACGACAAAGGCGGCCAGAAAACACAGTGAGATAGATGATAGATAGATGATTGATTGATTGATTGATTGATTGA